TTTTATTTATCCATTTGTCAAAGTGAAGTGTAGCATTGTGTCCAAAATGGAAGAATCATAACAGTGAACCTTTCATATCCAACTACAAGCAGGTAGCCTTAGGGTTTGTTCTCGAACACAGCGTTGTATCTAATGTTGCTTCAAGTTTTGGCAGTTTGAAAATCCAAATCCACTGATTAGTCGAACAAAATACAAGATGACTTGGTGCACGTTTGTCAACACATCAGAGATGAAGCAAAGCTTAACATTGATAACAAGCAATATCAGCACATTCAAATTATTTCGAAACTCAAACCGTCATGTACCTCAACAAGTAAGCAAGAAGACAAAACATGTATGGGCTATTGACCCAACCCCATGACATTATTAGCCTTTCATGTCTGCTCTGAAATGATAATACAGTGACTGAAATAGGCAATTCCCATTTGCTTCAACAGCATGCGTCTATGTGATAACAGTAGGGGCAGATCGGCCGGTAAACTCCTGCATCTTTGAGAGCTTCAGAGCAACATCCACCTGTAATTGAAGTCACGCGTCAGCCCAAACAAAACTACCAAAAGTGGTGCTATGAATTGACAAAAAATGATATGGATATCTTACAAGAGGAGCAAGAGCGTCTTGGGAATCTCTCCCAGTTTTCGAAGGATCCTTCTCATACTGCTCAATGTAGAGACGGACGGTTGCACCTTCTGAGCCAGTTCCAGAAAGGCGGAAGATCTGCAACCAAGGGGGGAAGGTGAATAAACTTTAGCTTGTTTTATAGCTACATAAGTTCAAAAACTTTTACATATCTTGATGAAAAAAAAAATCTTGTATGACAGATTATTTTATTCCCAACCACCATACAGATGATTAACTTACCAATCGAGACCCGTCTTCAAACAAATATCGAATACCCTGGTGCTTTGAGATGGAACCATCAACTGGGTCTTTGTATTCAAATTCGTCAGCATGAACCACGTTTGCCACATCTGAACGTACCCCTTTCACAATCCTGCATCATAGAGTACCATGTCTTTTAAAATTTAAATAAGCACCTGCTGCATTTCATTTTAAAAATTTCAACAATTTGAGTTTGGATGATTAACAAGCTGTTTAAATACATAAAACTCAGTCGCACATAAGCATCCATTTTGGTTTAAGTTCTTTCAAGTATATACATAACCAATAAGCTGGTGAACTTTAATAGTAGAAGCATAGCAAAGGCATGCCTTGTGTAAGACAAACATAACAACACATTAAGAGCCTCATCATTCATTAATGTCCCTAAGTAACAAAGCTAGCTACTTATGAGGAGGCATAATAAGTAACAATTTTGGGTCATGCACCAAGAAATATCTATAAGATTTTCAGCAGGAAAAGAAGAAAAAATGAAAAAGAGAGAACTTCAAGACTTAAAACTAATAGAAAAGAAATCACCTAAGAAAAAAAATATTTACCTAAAACATAATTAAGTCATACATCATGCATTTCTAGAAAACGCAACTAAACAAAGCAAACTAGTATCCACATAAGGAATTTAAAAAAAAGAAGAAGAAATGAACAATCTTTAAGGACCATCATAGAACAAGAATATGACTTAGAAGTCCAAAGCTCAAAAGTCTAGCATGTAAGTTCATTGGTCCATAATAGTTTTTATCCATAGAAAATACACAATGATAGTTCACTCTCTTGCCCTCTGAATTGCCAAGAAAAATACCTTTTTTTTTTTTTTCTTTTCATTTTGAAGTGTTAATGTTAGGTATAAACTTGAGTATACAAAATAATATAAGATGTTAGACTGCTAAGCACATTGAAGCAATTGTCATATCGTACATCAAAAGACTGCTCAGGATATGATAGCTACACTACCAAATCTATGAGATCTGGCAAGCTTGCTAATTTGTTCACAAATTCTTTTACTCCCTTCATTTCAAAATATAATTCGTCTTAGGGTTATCAGTAGTAGATAGTGGCCAATAGCGGGAAGGTAAAAATCCACTACAATAGCTTAGTGAAATAATGAAGCGGCCACTATTTGACTAAATAGTGGCCATTAAAAAAACAAAAATATAGAAATTTAATAAGCAAAATAATGGACCTAATAACAAAAAGGCTTTCAATGACTTAATAACTCAAAGGAAAATAAGACAATTCCAAATGACCTTATAACGTAAAATGACTTAATAACATAATATTCTCAAGTAAATAAAGTCATAACAATCAGAGTAGATAGAGCTATAAGACAATAAAATAAAACACAAAGGCAGCTGATAAATTCCAATTCCTAAGAATTAAGGATTTCCAATTTATTATTTAAGAGAATCTAATAATCCTCATGCCTCTCTTCAGCTTCCAATCTTGTTAAATGGACAGAATTTGAAACCAGCAACCATCTCCGGATTCATTAAAATGTTTTCTACAATTTTTTATTTACATTAAGAAAAAAAAAAAAAAATCAGCAAGAGAATAGAACCATAAAGCTTAAACACTTTAAAAATCAAAGCTATTCTTTTGGCACAAATAAAAACAAAACTTAAGTGCCAAAAAAGGGCGTATGGAGTTCTTCTAGGCTTTGTAAGGTCAGGGGCATTGAGTTTTGGGCTTCTGCAATGTCGGGTGTGGGCAACAGGAGTGGCGATGAGGTTGATTGGTGCCGGGGCTTGGATTGCTAGCAACAAGGTTGATCCGCATTAGGAGGTGTTTTCTGGTGGTGGTTGTTTAGTTTTGCTTTGCTTCACTTCTGCGATTTCAGTTGTGGGAGAGGCGAGAGACAGATCTGGTTGAGATGAGATTTAGGGTTAATTTGAGTGTTATTGCTTTTTTAAATTAAATAAATTAAAATGACAGATTTACCCTTAAAAATGAATCTAATTTGCTGAAATGGGGTCTTTTCAGTCTTTTAAAGAGGAAAGTACAATAGTGTGGATAACGGGCACCATCTGCTCTCTGGATTGCGGCCACTATAGCATCTGAAGTAGATGCTATTGGAAAACCGCCATGCTATGGCTGTTTTCATAGTGGCAGCCCCTATGAGCAACATGCTATGGCCACTATAGCACCATAGTGGGCACTATTGCCAACACTGATTTCGTCTTTACCTTTTTACACATATTTTTAGGTCATGCTTTTTCATGATATATGAATGATAATTAAATTTTTTTTTTTTTATCAAATGAAACTACTCAACAAGAACTACAAATAGGAAAAAGAAAATCTCAGTTTTCATTCATGTACTATAAAAAACTACCATCTAAAGTTACATGCAAAAAAGTCAAATGACTTGTATTTTGAAACAGAGGGAATGGTATATTTGTAACAAGCTCACCAAGAATTCTCCAAACCCTTTCTAGAAATTATCAGATGCAATTACATCCTTAATAGTAGCAACAGCACATGTATTAATTCAGAATCATGAGTTACTCAAATCAACAGTGACAGATTATCGAGATCTGAAAGTCATATCCAGTGAAAAACATATTATCCTCACTACTAAATATGGTGGCTTTAGGCAGTAATCCCATTATGATAATATCTTATTCTGCTATAATTCTTCTCCCCTCTTTTGGACAATATCATGTTATTGCTGTTCAAATGACTAGTTAAACCAAATATGCAGTCACTTTTTCATAACATACAGACTTACTACACCAATTTTAGAAGTTTAAAGGCTTAATTCCTGTGAATAAAAGTTGAAAAAGCACAATGATGCATGTATTCCTAGAAGTATAAAGTTTAGATCAACCCTTCATAATCAAATGAGTAGGAATCTAAATATCATTTTGAAAGGAAAACAAAACAATAAAGTAAAGCATTTAGCTAATATAAAAGCCCGTTAAACGAGTCATTTATTCACATTAAGAATGGCAGCCAAAAGTCCAGGTGAAGTAACAAAGTTCATTTAGTATACACACTAAATTAACTAAGTACACCCTACAGCCTTCAATGTTTGTTAAAAAAATTTTTGAAACAATAGAAAAGCGCCCAGACCAGAATAGCATGTATGTTCCAACACAAGAATCAAGAGATGTGTATTATCACATAAAGAAGACAATTTAAGAATTAGTATTTTAACATACTGATTAACTTCAGAAAGGGATGATTGTAATTTGATAAGATATGCCATTAATTCCTTTGCTGCACCTGCATCCACATTCTGCAGAAACAATGTTAGTTTGAAAAGCATTGAAATATTTTCCCCAGACACATAAAAGTAGAATACATCATTATACCTCATAGTCATATCGAGTATAATAATGGCGACCATAGGTGGCCCAATGCTTACGAACTATATCCTCAACAGTCACAAGCTTGTTCCCATTCAGATTTTCCTTATTTTTGTATGCAAGGATAGAAAGCCAAGCCAGAACTGCCCAGATTCCATCTTTCTCACGTATGTGGTCCGATCCTGTTTGCAGATAGCATTATATAAGTTCTCATAATACCAAAGATAACCTCATTGGAATTTGGAAACAAAGATAGAATTGCCAAATACTAACCAGTTCCAAAACTTTCTTCTCCACAAATTGAACATAATCCAGCATCCATTAAATTGCCAAAAAATTTCCAGCCGGTGGGTACCTGGCATAGCCAACAAACAAATTTTATATTATATCTATAAAGGTAGCTGCAAAGGAGAACCACCATAAAATGATTTGTTATAGAGGATACCTCAAAAAATTTCAAATTCAAGTGCTTGGCAACAACATCTAATGCTGCTGAAGTTGGCATGCTCCTATAAGTAGCCAAACCAATTCCAAAAAACAATATTATAATTTAATAGACAGAGAAAAGAATACCATCATCTATGAATGTTAACCAAAATGTGGCATACCAGCAGAATTTATGATTAAGAAAGAAACAATGCACTAGATGGATTCATCTTTCCAATTATGGAGTAAAAAAAGAAAAAAAACTTAGCCTTAATCCCTAACTAGCTTTTGTTTTCTTCATATTATATCAGTCCCCATGGTAACTAAAGGAATCCTCCTTCTGTAATCTATCCGATCGACAAGCAAACATAACACAATGCACAAGCATCAACATGGATACTAAATGCTTGGACAAATTGTCATTTTGCAAAATCTATGTCCAGCATGATCTGAAGCACAACCATTACCAAGGTAAAAAAGTGTGCTAGCTACTTGGCTCTACAATGGTTATGCTATTATGCATGCATGTCCAATATAATTAAAGTTAATAAGGGTCTTCAGGATCAGCAAATGCTAATCAGAAACAAGTCAATCACTTAAACTTATAGCCAAGCCAAAATAGAAGAAGCTAAAGAGCATAATATAAAACCTGGCAACTCCCTTCAAACCGGCAGAAAAGTAAGGTATTGCTTCAACAGCATTGGCAGCAATAATGGCAACTGAATCTGATGGAGTAACAAAAAACCTACAAATGAAAAAGGATAATAAGTGAAAATGATTTCTGAGTTGTGTTAATAACATGGTTGGCATTGGATTGGCTCAGTTACCAAATTGACATTTTGTGGTTAACTGATACCTGAACTGTATTACAAGTCAGAATAAGATTTGGTTTTGGTCAACCAAATTTCTCAAACGGTTAGGGTCTAAATTCAAAATTAACCAAAGTTGCCATGCTTTGAATTTTTTATTACAATTCATTTAATTCAATTTAAATTTTATTGGTTCAGTTAAATTTGCTTTGTTAATAAAAATCAATCGAATTAATCAAATTAACCAAGTTTCTCTTAAAACCAAAAATTTTTGGTAAAATTTGAGTAACTTGGAAGTGGTTTCAGATATTAGGTGAAGGCAAATAACTGAACCTGAAAAAATTTTGGTTAAATTTAGACTGATGTTGACTGATAAAAAACCTAACCCACTCCCCCCCTCCCCCCCAAAAAAAAAAAAAATCATTTTGGCTCGGAACATCAGTTAACTTGGATTTAACTGAAATAAACCCACCCTAGTTACTAATTACATGGCAGTAATCTATCCAACAAACAATCAACAAGAATGATACCTCTTCCCAAGGATCATGTTGCGATCAGCATCACCATCAGCTGCAGCACCAAATTCTGGTGGTTCATACGCAGAGTTTGACTTGCCCAATCCCATCCGAGCAACCAACTCCTTTGCGTAAGTTAGATTAGGATCAGGATGCCCACCTCCAAAGTCCTCCTGTTTGCAGCAAATGAAAGCACACAAAGAAATGTGTTTTACTTATTCAACACAGATGATATGTTTTAGTAAGGAAAAAAGGTCATTAAAAACTTGTCAGACCTTGGGTGTGCAGTTCAACAATGAGCTTTCTTGTGCACCAAGCTCTTCCACAAAAATACGTTTTGCATAAGCTCCAGCAACTCCATGTAATGCGTCATAGCTTCAGAATGTGAGGAATGAAATATATATATTTTCCAACATCACATACCATAGAGACTGTTACAATGCAAATAAAAGGCTAATTACATACCAGAACATAAACTTTGGAGATGAAAGCAGCTTCCGGATAGACTCAAAGTCAAAAATTGACCTGTTAATGTCAATAAGAGAATGTTGGTTTAAACATTAACCATAAAATAAGTCGTTCTGAATGAAGCACAGATGAGCATCAACAGCCCCTAATATGTTCAGGATCAGTATAACCAGATACCAGTGGCAAGAAGAGAGATGATGTTTCAAAATCAAAATATTGAAGGAGTCTTACGATTAACCTTGTTTACATGTGCTTTAAAACCAAGATAAAATGAAGAAAGAACATGAGTTGAAGCTTCAAAATTAAAATTAAACTACAATAAAAATTAATAATAAAGGTTTCAGAGTTAAACAATATAACAATTTCTGTGCTACTTTTCAAGTTGTTACTAACAAGCTTTATTTACAAGCAATTTCACTCAAGGAATATAGAAGAAAGAACAGAAGTGGTAAAGAGGAAAAATTCAGAGATCACAGAGAAGATCACTAATAAACAGACTATACTTTTAAATGCAAAAGGAAGGTCATAGTAACACCTAAAAAAAAAACCACTTACTTCATCAATTTCACATAGTCACTCGCAGAATCAAAAACATCAACATCAAACTGTCCCTCAGGGCCTGTAAAACTGGTGACACCTATTGAACTAATATCCACCTGAAATGATATCAAGAATTTTGATAAACAAGCATAAAAAGTGCATTTAAATGAGCTATAGCTGATCCCCACTCTGATCTAGTGGCTAAGGCCACTGGTTAGTGGGCGTCACCTCCCACTGGTTGCACATTCAAGTCCCACAAGATCCTCTTTCCCCATTGTGCATTATACCTAAATATGTACTAGTTGCCCTCTTTCAAAAGAAAGGGCTATAGCTAGAAAAAATAAATTGAAAGTAAGTGAAACAATAAAAGGAAATTGTGGTTATGATAAAGGACATACATTAGGAAGATCTTCAGCAATCAGGTACTCCTTTATAGTTTTTGTATTCTCAAAGATCTTATCAGTGATACCCTCTGGAGCAGGTCCACCATTTTCCATGTTATATTTAATTCCAAAATCCTGGAAATTGAAAAAAAAAAGGAGGAAAAAAAAACAATCAATTAGTGATATAGCAAGTAAAATTATCATCATTTAGACTATATCCTAGGGAAGAAAATAAGAATAAAGGAAAAAAAAAATGGAATTACCTCAGTAGGACCACCTGGATTGTGACTTGCTGTCAAGATAAATGCACCTGTTGCTCTGGCTCCCTGATAAATAAAGTTAACATTTTCATTATTACAATTTTATTAACTAGATTCCTATCAAAAGAACAATTCAGGAAAAGAAACATAATAACTCAACATTTTCAACTTGAGCAAAATAACTCACATCTGCACCAACTCTTTCACGTATCACAGCTGAAACAGCAGGAGTTGAAAGCAATCCATTTTGACCAACCCATACACGTCTTACCCCATTTGCAGCTGCCATCTTAATTATTATCTGCCAATTTTGAAAAAGGTAATCAGGAAATAAAAAAGGTAATGAACTGCCTTCTAATGCATAAAAATGTATGCAGATGAAACAACCATATGAAGCAAGCCCTCAAGCCCCTCAACTT